GGGTTACTGGTAAAGGCTATGGCCTATGACCTTGCCTTTTGATCTATGAAGATCCTGTTTTGATGATCTCGAATGAGAATGCTCCTCGTAGTGACAAAACCTACTCCTTAGAATGATGGGGGTATTGTAACTACTTTTTTCCATTTTATTTTGTCTCGTCTCTTCTAGAACATGGAAGTGTCAATGTACAAGAGGTGCAAATTGTTGAAAAGTTGGTAACAGATGGACAAGGAGAGCCTAAGCGATTGTTGGGTAGCCAAAATATTTATTACGAGTGCTTATTTGTTGAGCATGTTGTTAGAGGTCGATCGGATTTGATGAAGATGATAGAAGGTCTATAACTCTTTTACCTAGTGTTTCCATGTTATCATTCATGAAAAGATCTCAAAATCAAGTGCTAATAAGAGGTAAAAAGGGTTTGGATAGGAAGTTAGCGAAGCTTTTCCTTTTTTTTGCACGCCAACACCATTAATAAAATAAAGTTAGTGAAAAACTTTAACAAATCTCTAGGCTTTTTCATGGCGGATAATGAAGTGCATTACACTGATGGGTTGATGTTACTTGCAAAACAAACTCTTTGGTGCTTATATCATTTTTTTAGTTTTGTTTTTCAAGAACCAGTAAGTAAAAGAATCACGAAAATGAAAGGTATCTTCTTTATATATAGTGAAATGATGAATGATATGGCTAGTATTGTTTATATCTCAAGGAAAAGGGAGTTAATAAATTAACCTTCCAGCCAGTGAAACCTATATTGGGGCTGGGCTCAGGAGTGGGTGAGTCAACAGTTCTTTCTTCTTCTTTTTCAAAGCAGTCTCATTTATTTAAAAATAAAATTATGAAGAAATGAAATAACAGGTTTAAAAAAATTGATGAGGTCTTATTAAATTCTAACCAAATCCTCTAGATTATGGGGTGACCTATACAGTCAACTAAGTTTTTTGGGGATCAATGGAATAGCCTGTCGAAAAAGGCTCGTCACTAGATGGACTCTGGTCTCATAGCCGAGCTTCAGAGAAGATAGAAAATGAGCTCTCCTTGTTAGAGGCTGACCAGTTTGGTCCTCTTTCCTAAATGCAACTTTTAGTTTGATCCTTAAATACAATTTATTATTATTATTATTTTGGTCTCAGTAAAAGATGTGACTGCGTCTCTGCCTTTTGTCCCTGATTATAACCACTGCAGTATTCCTGGATTTGTCCTGCTTATAACCATTTTATTTCTTAGGAACATCCGTCAAGTCAGTGTCTCCTTGGCGATGACCATGATCACTGCAACTACAATGGCAGTACTGCTCAAACCCATGATCACTGCTCACCGCCTTCTCCTCTTCCAAACCCAAAAACATACTTCAATTATTGCAAAACAACAAAAACAACATGGGTCTCTTCTTGTTGCCAGCTCTGTCCGTCAGAGTGATAACTACTGTCAAAATCTGGTCGATGAATTTGACCCAAATATTCCTATAGAGAAAGCCTTGACCCCACCTAGCTCATGGTACACCGACCCTTCTTTTTTTGATTTTGAACTCCATCATGTCTTCTATAAAGGCTGGCAGGCTGTTGGTTAGTTCTTTAGTTTCTTGTTTTTCTCTTCTTCTAGAGTATAATTAAATTGGTTTCATGAATTATAGCCAAGTTTCATCATGAATTTCTTGAATTTTCAGGATATACTGAACAGATGAAGAATCCTCGTGATTTTTTCACTGGAAGGTATCGTTTATTTATGTGTTAAATGCCCACGTGTTGAAAAGTGGATCTTTTGTTTGCTTGTTTGTTTTTTCTTGAATTCTTGAATTTCTTGTTGAGTTCATGAAACAACAAGGGAAATATGCTTGAATACGGATTCTGTTTTCTATTTTATATCAGTAGATGGTCTATACGGCCTTTGAGCTGCACAACATGGGATATCCCTCCTCTTTTCTAAGTTCCCCGCATCCTGGATGCTAGCCGGATTTGATACCAGTTGTCTTCTTCCACCTTCGATTAACTTACCGTTTAATAAAACTTGGCACAAATGGATTCTTGCATGTTTAACCAATTCATTTGATTCTTATAAAAATCAATTGAAATCATTGAATGCGCATTTTGTTTTGATGTGCATTTCAATTTCCAATCAATATCTCTTTCGTCCACCCCTTTATTCATTGTTTCTGAGAATGAAATGGAGGGTCAATTATATATGGCAGATTGGGGAATGTAGAGTTTCTGGTGTGTCGAGATGATGATGGCAAGATTCATGCTTTTCACAATGTGTGTCGCCATCATGCCTCTCTTGTTGCATCTGGAAATGGGCAAAAGCCTTGTTTTGTATGCCCTTATCATGTGAGTTCACTTTTGAATTTCTTTGGTTTTGACCACAAAAAAAATACAAGTGTACTAGCTCACCTGCAAAATTCAAACTTTCAATGCATCTTCGAATAGTTCGTTTTGATCGACCATTTTGTTTATAAAGTGTGTGTTAAATTCATAGGTGGTGTAAACTATTTTAACTTTAACATATAAATACATCTAATTTTTCTTACAGGGGTGGACATATGGGTTGGATGGAGCACTTCTTAAAGCAACCAGGATAACCGGGATCCAAAATTTTGATGTAAATGTATGCTGAAACATATGGTCTCAATCCTATTTTCAATTCATATAAGACATTTTCTGGTTTTGATTGATAATTTTGTTGATTTATTTATCTGATCATTGAACATAGGAGTTTGGGCTTAAACCACTAAATGTTGCAACTTGGGGGCCATTTGTTCTCCTCACTTTGGACAAGGAGATTTTACCACAGCAAGAAGCTGACAATACAGTGGGGAGTGCATGGCTTGGTAGCTGTTCAGAATTTCTTGGTGCAAATGGAGTTGATTCTTCTCTAAGCTATCTTTGCAGGCGTGTATACGATATTGAATGTAACTGGAAGGTAATTGTCCTTAACTTGCTATTTTGTCTTGAATTATCTCATGGTCCTTTCATTTTATTCTGCCTCCTAGTTAATCATGTGGTATTACATTTATTCATTGTTGTCGGAATGGATTTGATGTCTTCTCTATTAGAACCAAGCCTTGTAGAAATCAGTGGCCATCACTATTGCTATCTTGATTTCATAGACTGCTGATGATCGTTGGTTTCTTCTTTTTAGGTGTTCTGTGATAATTACTTAGATGGTGGTTACCATGTACCATATGCTCATAAAGGCCTTGCATCTGGTCTTAAGCTTAACTCTTACTCCACCAAGGTATGCTTCTCTCATCTTCTTCTCCACATAGGCATTTTGTGTTCTGTATCATGTCTCTCTTACCAGTCTAAAAGAATACTTCAATGTCTTTGTTTTTTCCTGAGGTATATCATTCTTATTATGATTGTTGTCTTACGTAAATGGTTGCTCTTTGAGATAGACATATGAAAAGGTTAGCATCCAAAGCTGTGATGGTGGCTCGACGGAAAGTGAAGATGATATTGATCGACTTGGGTCAAAAGCCTTGTATGCTTTCATTTACCCTAATTTTATGATTAACAGGTACCCTCTTGGCGACTGTGTGTTAATTCATTTGTTATGTCAGTTCTCTGGTAACTTGAGTGTCTTATGGATCTCGTAGGTATGGACCATGGATGGACACTAATCTGGTGCTCCCGCTAGGACCCAGGAAATGCCAGGTGATATTTGACTACTTTATTGAAGCCCATCTCAAGGTACTTTCTAGGCATGCCTGCTTGTATATTGCGAGGATACATGATGATAAATATTGTGTTGTCATTTATCAGTACATAAAAAGACGAAGGGTGGTTTTTCCTTTTCTATTTCTAAATCAAAAACAAAAATCAAAGAAGGAATGATTTTGTTCATCTTTAGTATTTTACTTGGTGGTTCTTGAAAGGGTTTTAGAGATGGACTCGTGAACCTGATAAATTACAGGGGCGATGAGCTCCATACGCTATACCTATCATTTATGTGCAGATTGTAAAAAAAAATTCTGCTTCTTGTTGCAATTCTGGTAACCTATGATTACTTTTATGTGCCGGTGAAGTTGTTAAATTCTGCTTCTTATTGCAATTCCGGTAACCTGTGATTACTTTTATGTGCCGGTGAAGTTGTTCAATTGAGGATTTTAAACATTTTGGTGTCAGGACGACAAAGATTTCATAGAAAGAAGTCTAGTTGATAGTGAGAGAGTGCAGGTATGTCATCCACGCTCCATTACCGTAAAGTTTATGGCCAGTTTGGAGTTTATTCTAAGATTAATATAAACATGCAGATAGAAGATATCGTGTTGTGCGAAGGTGTTCAGAGAGGCCTTGAAACACCAGCATACTGTAGCGGCAGATACGCTCCCACGGTTGAGAATGCCATGCACCATTTCCACCAATTGCTTCACCATATACTCAAAGAATGATTCCTTGTTATTATCTGGCGCTTGCAATCAGGACCCAAATGATTTCTTGTCTCTTGCATTTTCCGTCGTTTGGTGTGCCTTTTAAAACTGTGATTTAAGGCGTGAAAGGAAAGGATGTGTCCCTCATTAAGAACAAGGCAATGGCGTGCTCAGAACGGCAGGCCTGTCTTCCATTTCGTTTCTGGAACAAGGCAATGGCACTATGTCAATGTGCTCATAACGGCAGGCCTGTCTTCCATTTCGTTTCTCAGTATGTATTCATTCAGCTTCCAACATTGACCCCGCTGTTACCTAGGCTTCTGCACTGTCTTAAACATGAGCGTTTTATCTCATATCAGTGGTGTAAGACCAAGCCGGCGTATGGAGAAAAGAGCGGCAACCACACGAATTCGCCATCTATGATCTATTAAAAATTGCAATTAGAACTGAGACGGTGCAGAGAGTATTTCGAAATTATAAGCTAACTTCCACTTCAAATTAGGGATTTCCCCATCTGCTGATTAACTTCCACATCACTCCCCACCACCTTCAACTCCCAGCATCGTGTAAACTGTATATAACCATAATTTCCTCATTAAACTTTGGAGATTTGACAAACATGAAAGCCCTCAGATTGACAAAACATTCCATGCATTAATTCAAAAAAATGTTAATGCATTTGGTTCCATGATTTCATAACTGTAAACACAATCTAGAAAAGGTATGTGCTAAATTGAACTCGAGTAAGTTATTTTTCTCCTAGACAATCCTCGCTAGACACTGGAGCATAAAGTTATAAGTGAAAAAAATAAAAAATTCTTCACAAGTATGTCACCATCCGTGCACATCTGTAGCGTCCTATGAAGCAAATATGAAGAAACTGTGCTGATAGACTAGTAAATTTATATTAGCCAGGTTGATGTTAGTACTGTGAGTCTTTCGAGACCTCTACTGATCACCTGAAAGACAATGACAGGAAAATATCAGACTTGATATACCACACGCTATGAAGAGAAGATGAACAGGAAAATAAATGATTCTTACTTGGAGAGTTACCACTTCGATGAAACATCTTTGTAAAGAACTTGTGCAAGGGAGTTTGTGGAACAGGTATCAGTTTACCAATAACAGCAAGCGGCCAACTGGTTGGAAAGAATAAAAAGAGAAAACTACAGTTTAGATATGCAAATATGAGCCAATTGGTATGATAACATGTATGTATGTATGTATGTTTCCATGCGCATTAGATAGATGATGTGAGCTTTGCTACAGCCTCTTGCATCAGATAGATGATGTGAGCTTTGCTACAGCCTACATCTAGACATGATACGAGCCTTGTTATAATTACAGTTTCTGGAACAGGATATCTCAAGCTTGCTATCTACAACCATGTTGGTAAATAGCATTTGATGAAAATCATAACATAATTAGTTACTATAATAGAACTCAGAGAAATCCTTGACGGGCTGCAGTTTACCTGATAATAGCAATAACTGCTGAAATCAGCCACTGTTTCCAATTGAGCTGGACTGTAGAAGTGAACTTCCCAACAAACTCAATAATGATAACCTATAAAAAGCAAAGGAAAAGCATGTTCATGGATAGCACACAAAGACCCAAAACCTAGGGCATTGAATAAGTTAAAAGGGTCTTACCTGAAGTACAAGTGTTATTCCAACTATAACAATGAAAAGATGGTTTTTTGTAATCCCTTTGAAAATATTTAATTCATCTGGCTTCCGGGCATTGAATTCATTGAAGATCTGCAGTACAGAAAAGTACTCACCTTATCATGCTTTGTAGTTATGAACTCTTAACAACCAGATCATATCAACAATGCTAAAATGGAATTTAACTGGAATCATCGTAATTGTTTGTTGCTTCATTTTGTTTAAGAGGAGTTAAAGACTAACCTGACAGAGCACAAATGCATTGAATATCAAGGTATTCTTCACCTTGTTTGCACGCTGAGGGGTTTCATGCTCCAACCCCAGTAAGCTCTTCCCTCGAAAATTAAGGACAAGCAACACGCTCACTTGATATGCTGCCTAAATTTTTAGGAACCACAATTGGAAATTACCATTATTGTACTTTATGTGAATGAAAAAAAAACTAAGCACCAGATAATTTACAGCAATTTAAAATGTTAGCACTGACAAGACATATAGAATAAAACCAAATATTAATCTGTACCTGTATCAGCAAGTTCCTCCACATGTTATTTGTAATTAGTGGTTCCCTGAAAGAGAATATACACAATAAGTAAATCATAGAAAATGCAAACATGATATTTGTAAATAGTGGTTCCCTGAAAAAGAATATACACCATAAGGTAAATCATAGAAAATGCAAATGCACATCTGAATTAGTTTGATAACAGAGCGCCAAAAGGACCATAAAAAGACCAAACATAGGCATTTTGCCTGCGAAATATCATTGTAAAACAAGGGCTAAAACTTCTCATGCTGCTACAAAGGGCACCACAATTGTTACAGAAGAGACATCTACAATGTTGAAACAAGTTATCTAGTAACAGAAAGCAACATGGAGCAGGCTAATAGCTGGATTTTAGGCCGAGGTGGGCAGGTTTCAACTTGTGGTAGGGGGGAAGCCATAAGTCAGGCTCAAGAATCAAACTAAAAACAAAGCCATCCACATTTCTTAAAGAGTCCAGATGAGATGCTAGTTGTACACATCCAATATCCACTTCTAAATTTCCAACGCAAATTTCCTTTCATCAAATTATAACAGAAAGCAGGACACCGTTCTAGCTTAGAACAGCTTGATTTAGTTCTAAGATATTTAAAATTTTATACACTGACAAGGTGCAAACCATTTCAACATTTCATACCTACGACCAACTGGAGGTCTATGCATCAGGTGATCTGTTGGAGGCTCAGTAGCCAGTGCCAATGCTCCAAGAGTATCCATGATAAGGTTAACCCACAGGAGCTGTATTAAAAGATAGAACCAAAACATGAATACAGAACTAACTGAAACAATTATCTTTTTTAGTTAGTGTAACTAGGAGACCGCAAATACCTGCACTGCATTTAATGGGACATCACCAGAAGAAATTGCAGCCACAACATTTATAATAAGAGCTGCAACATTAACCGTAAGCTGAAACTGGATAAATTTCTGGATATTTGCATATACAGATCTACCCCAACGGACAACCTGCATTAAGGAGACATTAAAAATCATTGAAAATGCACTTACAAAAAGAATGAAACATTAATATCTGAGTTACGGTGACAGATAATTTGGAAGA